CCCCCCCCCCCGCCTCTCCCCCTGTATCAGGTGTGGTAGAAACAGAAAAAAAATCAGTTCCTACCACGAATGAGTTAATGATTGACGTTTCAAACAAGAGACAACACATGATTACAGACAGAGGCCAATGCAGGGGAATGCACTGGTGCATTTGCATTTCTCTTAGATTCCTGGTTCACCCAAAGTTTAAAAGCAGCTGCCTAGCAGCAGCATTTCTAGTCAGATAGTAGGGCTGTGCAAAGCTTCAGTTCCTGATTCAATTCGGCAGACGGTTGGCCCAATTCAGTGGCCAAAGATCAGAATCCAAATCAAATCAGAGAACCCTTTAATCTCTCCAAATCGAATCGGAACCCTCTGAATTGATTTGGAAAGATTCAACAATTCAGACATAGATACAGCTTTAAATGTTTTTTTCTACATACTCTAGGTACCAGGCCCAGCTCATGAATGCTGAGATGCTGGAGTGCACGGAGGATCCCATAGAAGCATGGGGGGCTCCCTAGCGTGCTTGGCAGCAGACCCAGAAGTGGACCAGAAGCACTTCTGGTCCACTTCTGGGTTCACCAGGGAGTGCCCCCTGGCTCAACAACTGGTGCCTTCTGGATTTGGGGGGGGGGGGTCTGGGCCCCCCTGTGGCTGATCACTGAGCCGGGGCGTCACAAGGGCCCCCCACACACATGCTCCCTGGCAGATCTGGAAGTGGACCAGAAGTAGTTCCCGATTCAGGCCATATCCAAATCGAATAGGGCCCATTTTGCACACATCAGGCAGTGCTGATGGAGTTAATTGACTTCAGGGCTCATTGTAATCTACTTGATCCCTTCTAAAGTCTTAATTTTGCAGGTGTTAAAGACTCTATATTCTTTAATGGGCTTGATGTTCCACCATTCCAACTATTTTTGTTCTGCAATTCCCCTATTAGCTGTTCCTGGTAATGAAACTCCTATTTCACAGCCCTACAGATTGTTTTTACCTCATTCCAGTGAACCCTACATTCTAGACCCACCCATGGATACAGACAAATATGTGAGTGCAAGGAAAGAAGACAGCCATGATAAAAATTCACAGATCTGAGTTTTTGTTCTGATACTGAAGGGCTCTGCAGGAGGAGAAATTCTGGTTCCCATAAAGCTGTATCTATGGGCAGTTTTAACAAAGAATGCTGTGTCAAGCCCTGACTCCTGCATAATAAGTCAAAGCAGAAATGTCTTACATTTTTTAGGTTTTGATTTAGGAAAGCACTTGTAAATGTGATTATAATTGAAGCATATGCTTAAAATTTTTCCCAAGTTTTCCTTCCACTTAACCTTTCCCCACCCCCAAACAAGATATGTAGTATTCAGTTATTTACCTAACCCAGAATGAACGAAGATATTTAAACCTATGTGCATAGATACAGAAGGATAGGAGAAGACGATATTGTGTGGACAGGATCTGACATTCACTTTTTGAGGACTTGGAGCAAGTCACTTCATCTCCCTGTGCTTCATTTTCCCCTTCCGCAACATGAGGATCACGATGCTGATCATGCCTCTGGTTTGTGAAGGATTTTAAGATACACCACAATATGTTTTATCATCGTAGCATAATAGCTCTCAGAGCCTAACTGAAATGTGCACGTTGATCTAATTCAGGATCATGTGCCTGAAGTTCCTGACTCTCTTTTAATGGAAAATTTGCATTAATCTAATATTAAGGCCCATTTGTAGGCAAAGGACCTTTCTTTTTTCTTTTGCTCTCTCTTCTTTTTTGTTAAATTAGATGTTTTCTTTATTGGATGAATTTATTTCCAACCCTGTCTGCAGACCCCAATCTAGTTGCCTTTTTATTTTTTTTTGACATGACAAATCTCTGTAAGAACCTAACATGTTAAGAAATGAACCTGGAAAAGGTCAGGAGCAATGTTACATTCCTGTTGGCTTGAAAAAGCTGGAAAGGAAGGAAGGACTAAATGTGGACCATTAGAAAAGAAGAAAGAACAGAAAGTGGGCTGGCATGAACAGTATGATTGATAGGGCCAGGGGAATCACGCGTGCTGCTGAAGAAAAAGAGGCATGTTCATCTCCTCGACATCTGGACAGGAAGCAGTCAATCAGACGTGCCATACTAATATAATGAGCTTATGGAATACACACAGTAACCTGCCTCCAGACTTTAAAGGCTTTTGAAATGGGATTGGTGGCCCGTACAGTTCCAAACCACTACTTCCAGGAACTCCCACAGTAACAACAACGGTGATAGAGGAAGGCCTGACCTAGACATCCTGGTCCAAATAGTCTTGTGCTGTGGGAGAGTTCAGAGCAGAATAATACCTTCCGTTCCAGGGTTCTGGCATTACAAGTACTAAGTCTCGCATCCTGAGAGTGGGCAAATGGGCAACCTGAGGCACATGGAGATTCATGGCCAAAATGTGGCACTCCAGGGCTAGGGACAGAAATTATACATAAACCAGTGATCAGAAACCAGTTCAAATCTGTAACACAACAGAAGTTCAGTGCACATGAACCACATTCAAACCACATTCAAAATGGCCAAAACCGGTTTAAGATAAACCTGGATAGACGTGTCAGGCTTATCTGATCCCAGATCCCCTCCAGACTCAAGTTAACTCACAGCCCCCCAGCATCTCTAGTGCCCCCCAACTTCTAGCCTGAGCCATTGCAGGCATGTGGCTGCATTTCCAGAATTGAAATTGAATGTCTGTTCACTTGCTTATCGGTTCAATCTTCGCAGCTAAGACTAACCTTCAAAGATCAAATCAAATCAGCCTCAGGCTTTTTGACTGTCTGTTAGGGGTGTGCAAAATGGGCCCTATTCAATTCAGATTCGGCCCGAATGAGGGGCAGTGATTTGATTAGTTGATTCAGATCACTGTCCCTGATTCGAATCAGCTGAATCCGAATCTTAAGATTTGATGCTGATTCAGAGAATCAGCAATTCGGCCATAGAAACAGCTTTAAATGTTTTTTCTACATACCTCAAGGTACCAGCGCAGCTCATAAATGCTGCAATGATGGGGCAGATGGAGCATCCCACAGAAGTGCGGGGGGAGGGGGGGCCCTCCACGTGCTTGGCAGTGAACCCAGAAGTGGACCAGAAGTACTCCACCAGGGAGCATGCAAGGGGGCCCCCTGCACCCCCTGGCTCAGCAACTGGCCATGGGAGGGACCCCTGGTGCCCCCCCAGACCCAGGAGGCACCAGTCGCTGAGCTGGGGGAGCCCCCCGTGCACTCTCTGATGGACCCAGAAGTGGACCCAAAGTGTTTCTGGTCCACTTCCAGGTCTGCTGCTACGTGCACTGGTGAGCCCCCTGCACTTCTGTGGGACACTCAATGCGCCCCAGCATCACAGCATTCAGAGCCCCTACTACCTAGAGGTATGTAGGAAAAACATTTAAAGCTGTCTCTATGTCTGAATTGCCAAATCTTTCCAAATCGATTCGGAAGGTTCCAATTCAGAGAGATTAAAGTGTCCTCTGATTCCATTCAGATTCAGAGATTCAGCCACCGAATCAGGCCGAATCTCCGCCGGATTGAATCAAAGACCAAAGCTTTGCACAGCCCTACTGTCTGTACTTAGCCCAGAAGAGAGCGCACCAGGGAGGAAGGATGGAGAGGGCAGCAGGAGCCTCTTTCCTATACTACCATGCACAGAAAACAAATAGCTATTGTCCGGCTTCCTGCAGCCTCTGAGCATGAGGGGAAGCATTTCAAGACCTCAGAAGGGGCCTGTGTCTGACCTGTGTTAAGGTAAGACTGGATGAAGCTTGCCTGTCTTTCCCCTAGAACGAGTAAAGGAAAAGTTGCTTTATGCCTGTGCCTCTCAGCACCTCCCAAGGAAGTCTGCGCCTGCTTCTACAGTGCACAGAAACAGCATCTCCTTTCTGTACCACATAGACACTGCTGCAGCAAGGACTTGTACCCCCTGAGCTGCCTTGGTTCTTCAAAACCAAAATCAGCCATAAGCAATGTAACCTTATCACAAAGTCGGTCAATGCCTGAGTTGACAGTAAACCAAAGGACTCCTGATGATTTCCATTCCATTACTCTAAGTGCTCGTTCATACCCCAACTCCCAACCTGCTTCCATAGGTATTGATTCATGGCTGCATAAGTGAAACAAAAATAAAGACTGAAGGCAACAAAAACATAGTCCATAAGCTTCCTAATGTGTAAATGTCCAGAAACTTCATTTTAGAAAACAGCAACACAAGTGCTATGGAAGAGCTTTATGATTCACTGCTTTCTACCAAATTTAATTCAATATATTGCGGGCAAGACCAATTACTTCAAAGTCAATTCTCCAACCCATTCATCTTTTCCCTGTTGCACCCGCTGCTTGTCAGATTCTCTTGCCATTCCTATACCTCTAGTACTGCTTATGGAAGTTGTCTGTGGTTTGTAATTCAAACCAAATGTTCCTTCGTTTTTCAAGTTTTATTTTTCCAGCTTTACGTTAAAAAAGCCCTAACTCAATCTGTCTTCTGTAAACAATATGCATAATTTGAGTAGTGCCCATTTGGTTCAAATTTTGGTTGGATATTCAACCGAGCATTTAGAGGACGTAAATAATTTGGTGTAGCTCCCAGATTGAATGGGACTGTTCTGCTGCTAAGGGAACAGTGGAAAAGTCAGACCTATTCTTCACTAGCAAGAAGATGCTATTTATGCTACTTAGCATTAACTGCATGTTATCTAGCATCCCACTTTAATGTAGATCCTGTGATCTCTATCGGCTTTGTTCCTCTGTTTTTTTCCTTTTTTATTTACCATAAACCTCGAATGATCACAAATGGAAGAACAAACCAATAGAAAGAACTATTTTGGGGGTAAAGAGCAAGGTCATTTTGGAGAACTGACTTTCCTGTGAAAAAACACAAAGTAATCGTAAAATAATAATAATAATAAAAGAATAAAAGGAACTTACACAAGTGAAGCAGAAAAACCTGATTCCTGCAGAAGACTGTTTTTCTTCATAGGCCTGGCAAAAATCAGAGTGAATAATTGAAAACACACCCTCACTGTCACATGATTTACTTTCAGTAATTCTGTTCAGTACATTGGAACGAGGCTATTGTTTCCTAATTGAACAAAATGTCAGCAAGGATAGATAAACAAAACCAATGAGATGCAGTGTTTGGGAGGACTAACTGACTAGCTTCCAACTGTCCCAGGGAAGAAAGATTTTCAAAGATACTTTGTCATTCATTTTTTTACCCATAACTCTCTAAGGGTGTTGAACAGTTTCTGGAGGTAAAGGCTTTGGGCATGTTATACCTACTGATGGAGAAGGAGAACCTAGCTAATCAAATACAGGATTTCCTGTTGCAGCCAGCTTGGCCAACATGTTTCTTGTCATTTTCAACAGATATTTTAATTCTTAAGGCAATAGGAATTTTATAGGCCATTTGCTTTCCAGAAGCAAAGCCTGTTGTTGGTCCAAATATGACCAACAACAGGAGCCACTGTGAGATAACATGGCTATTTCTATTTACTAACTCTCCAAGTATTTTTTAATCACAGGCTAAATTATGACTTTATAGACTAGCTGGAATAAGAGCCAGTGTCCTTATGTCTCTGGGTACGTCACTCCTGATTTTGTGACGTTCCTGAGAGCCCCACTAAGAACCATATCTTGCCCTCCTTCTTTCAGTGTGCCAAACCTATAAACGAGATGGTGAAGCCACTTCCACTGCTGCTTTCAGTCCTCTGTCTCCAGCACACTTGAGAGCAGTGGCAAGCGGTCTGAGTGACTTCACTGTTTTGTTTCTGGGCTTAACTCATGCACAGCAGGAGTTGTTTGGCAGGGCAGGCTCCTTGCCAGCATTCTTCGAGGAACCACAAGAACAGTATAGATATCGCCACTGAAATCCCAATTTCCCCTCTTAATTCTCCTTGTACTCCAGCAGAGGAGGGGCTAAGTCTCTGCCCCATCCCCAAACCTGCCCCAGCCACCTTGCAGAGTCTGCTTTCCCATCCTATGCTGTGACCTACAATGTAATATTGTAGTAAGAAGTCACAATTCTGCCCTAAAACCATTCATTCCTTATTGCTGGGTCTCTCCAGTTGTTTTCAGTTTAAGATGGGCAAAAACTAGGGTCATACCACAAGTGACAGGGCCCATGCCACAGAGACCTGACCTTGAAACAATGACTCTGTTATTTATTTAATGCAGATTTTAAATAGCAAGTCGCATTTGTCAGTCACAGTGCTCTTTTTGACTCAAAAAAACCCATTAGTAGTAGCTGTTCCAGTAAAATTTAACAGAAGCATGGATTGTGCTTAGACCCCTAAAAGTGGCCCCTTCGTGTGCACTGGTGAGAAGTACTGGGAAGCTCACACTACTGTTGCCTATTGCTTGTTCTGTGGATAAAAACTGAAGACGATTTCAGCACAATCAGTCTAACAGTAAATTTAATCACAGAAGAGAGGCAGAAGGCAGGACAGGGTGGTATCCTAGAGACTGATTTGTTCAGAGAGGCATAAGCTTTTGTACCCATCAGTCTACTTCATCAGATGCTTTCACAGAAGAGAGAGAAATATGATCTGAACTTAATGTAGTACTCTGAAATAGTACTGTATTTATTGTCTATCAGTAACTTCTATATCAAATCTGTTCCATGTAGATAGGAACTTCCATCCCTAGAGGGAGGACACATTAAAATGGGATAGTTCAACTGAGTTCTCTCCTGTCCAACCTATTTATTCTAGGTATTATACGCATAGCTAATACATATTTGAAGCACTCGTAAGAAGAAAGAACTCCCTCTGAGTTTGGAGGATGTCAGTTGGGTAAAACTTCAATTTACTTCTAAAGGGAATAGTTTTGATCTGGAGTCACTGAATGGCAGTAAACATGGAGCTCCATCATGCTGTTTTAACCTCTCTTTTGAGAAATGACAAGTTGTAAACTGAACAGTGAATAATGGGTAGCAAACAGTTTTCATGGAAAGAAGTATTCTCTGACCAAAATGTATGAGCTCTATGATCCCTAAATCCTCCTTATAATAAGGAGCAACACAGACTTGAAAACAGACGCACGTATTTGAATACAGAGCTCTGGCTCTATGTTCAAGCAGTGTCCAGTGCGATAGACATGGCAATGAAAAATCACTGAGAAAAGTTACTTGATGCTGAATGTTGTTTAGGGATGGTGAACTCATTCATACAATATCCAACCAATCCCAAGGTATTTCTCCAAGTCAGACCAGACTGGGACATTTTGTGAAACTTAAAGACTTCAACAATCTTTTTTTCTTCCTTCTTATTTTCACATGCTTTTACACTTCCTGATCATGAGTTAAGTTCTGTGGTCTCTAAATCAGTGGGAGTTTTGTACAGCTAACAACAGCAATGTTTGGACCACTGCCAGAACCAGTGGCAGAAACACAAATATCATAAGAGAAGCTGTTCTCTCATGACATTGCTCTCTCCTAACATTTTCAGTATTTTCCGTCCCTTTCTTACTGTAACATTTATTCAGAACATATCAGTGATCCAAAAAGCAAGTCATTAAACTGTATACAGGAAAGGATAAAGATTTAGACTGATATTACTTATAAGACTGATTTAAATATATTTATGTGTGTGTTCTGTTTTTATTACCTCATTTCACAGGAACTGTGGCAGAAAAAGAGCAATGGGAATGATCAGAGGCAGGGATTCTGTCAAAGGAGAGGTTGAAATAATGAGGGCTTTTCAGTATCAAGAGAAGATGAGTAAGAAGGGAGGTTGACAGAGGTTTATACTGTAATTAATAGTATAGCAAAGGTAGTCTGGGCCCCTCACTTAACCCCTTCTTGTAATCCTAAGATTAGGGGTATACAGTGGAATGAACGGACTAATAACTAAGGCAAGGAAATAATTAACCTGTGGAACAGATGTGTAGATCAAGGTTGAAATCATGAGCCCTGGGAATTCCTGCCATTGTTTTGTTTTGTTTTTTTAAATAGATGTTTATATGATCAGGAATAGATAAAAGTTAATGGTGAGATAAAACATATAAGGGACATCAACCCCCCTGCTTCAGAACAAAAGCAATACCCTGCCTAACAGAGGTAAAATGACACTTCCTCTTACATAGGCATCTTTTTTATCACAGTTGATTCATAATGGAGATTCTCCACCTTTCTGAGAAGCATCTGGAAATAGTCTCACTTGGAAACAGGATACAGGATTAGATGGACCACTGGACTAATCCTATATGGCAGTTCTTTTCCTCTGCCTAGCTGAAACCGGGAAGTCACAGCAGGTAAAAAGATCTTAGCCCATTTGTGAAAGATTTTCCAGCTTCAAAAAGACTTCTTGATTTTGACCGGTTTTGCCTTCATCCGAGTTAGGCTATGTGATCCTGGAGATAAGAACGTTGTCTTCCCATTTAGTGTTGCAATGTACCGTGTTCACCTATAGTATTATATATGCTTGTTAAACTTTCTTTCCTGTTACTTGCTGTTGTGTTTTAGGTACATCAACTAAAGTGCATGTTTTTATGGAGTACTGAATTTTCACAGGAGCGGTTGCTACTAAAAGGGTCCACTTAGCAAACAGTAATTCTACCATACCTCCAGGACAGATTCTGTCTGCCTTTGCACGGTAGGTATCGTGCAGGTGAAATGAATTGGTTAGTATTAAAGTACCAAATACATGAGGAACATGAACTATATAAAGCACATATTAACCAATGCATGTGACTGAAAACTACAGTAGGGACTGTGTGGAGAGCACAGACTGTGTGGGGGCACAGCATTACTATGGTATGTGTAGCATGGCACGAATGTTACCCTTTTAACAAAGTGGGCTTTTTAAGTGATTGTGTTGTATTTGTGGATCACGTGTAAGTGGTTGGAGCTGGAGCTGTGGCTGAAGAATGTCTGCCTGGTCAATACATACAAGTGCTTAAAGTGATTCCCGATTTACCAAATATATAGGCACTGGCTGGTTTTTGCTACTGAAGGTTGTGTCTACCTATTTAGCAAGTAATCGGTCAGCCTGAAGTATATAAATTACTGCAGGGCCAGAACTGTAAAAATTTATGTGAGCTCCCCTGTTTGGTGACTTTCTGATTTTTTTTATGACTTTGCCTCTTTATTCCATGCTTCCAGTCACATAATGTTCCTTTTTCATCTGACTTTGCTTTTCTTTTGATTTATATGCCCCTGAACTGCAAGCTTGAAATAAAAGGCCCTTTAGGTTGAATGAAAGGGGGATTATCAGTTGCCAAGATGTATGATTTATCAAGAAAAACTATAGGGCAAAAGAAAAATGAACTTACTCAGGCTACAGAAATCACATGGAAATGGTCTCTGTGTTTTTTAAGATGACAGTGTAAGAGTTGCAGTCAAATCAAACCATTTTTACATTTTATTGTAGATTTAGGGCTGGATATGTGTTGCATATTCCCTTACTTTTCAAGTACTTCAGTTGAAATGAATGGAGAAACTGAAGGGCTAAAGGGATTGATCTGTATGAGTACAGGTGACAAAATCTGCCCTTTAAATCATCTCCATTATATAGTTTTCTCATTAATGGTCTGACTCAGAATGGACAGGAATGAATGGAAAGAGTCCCACTGGCTTGAGAAGGCTTTGGAAGGAACCCCTATGGGAGCAGATACTGCTAAGTTTAGATTGCTGGTGGGTTTTATTTTTAAATTTGGTATTGTTGATTAGTCCTCCCTTCGGTGAAGAATCACCTCCTACTCCTTAAGTGTCTCTGACTAAGATGAATTTACTGCATCTGTGGAGGCAGTTGTTATTTCAGCTGCTAAGGTTCAGCAGTAGCTCTTCTGAGTCCCTGTCATCCCCGGTGCCTGGCAAAGGCAAAGCAACTTAGCCCAGCTGCTCTTTCTCTGCATTAAATGAATCCTGAAGTCTTGTCACATTTCTACTCGTTTCCTTTATCTCTCAAGTTGTCACAGCTGTATGAGTGGATGGTATTTATTTGCTCTGTATAACTCTTGAGTGTTGAAGGTATCACTGTTAAGCACCAACAGAGAACTGGCTCATTTTCTCATCAGCTAGCTCCTACAGTCCTATCACTTCCAACACCAATCAGTATCATAAAGGATAACACACATACATGACTCAGGTAAAGCCTCCACTTTTTACCAGCTATATTCGTTCCCCCCACCCCATCCTTTGACTACAGCTATATTCATTCCCCCACCCCCAAACATGTCTCTCACCTAGTGACCAACCCAATTTACATTTTAACTGACTGGCTTTCTTGCATACGCTGGCCTCTGGCTGCTTTACTGCTCCACCCAGGAAGAGCACAGACCATCTCTGACAAAGGATAACTGTCTCCGAATGCTTGCAAAGAAGAATGTTTCTAACTATTTGAGTTGGTCTAATAATATCAGATTTACCCAAAGAACCTTCTCTGTCTATACATGATGCACTAACTTTATAGTTAACGATGCGGTCTTGTTGTATCATCATAATGGTCCCACTGGCTTAAAGGCCTATGAAACTTTGAAACAACATTGTGTATGCTTAGCCTGCTGGCTTCTGAGGAGCACTTCAGCCAGCCCTCCAAAGCCAAGCAGAGTATTTTAAGCAAATAAGCTAACAAACAAAACCAAATCCTTCTTCTCCTGCCCAGGCAGCAGGAGTGGAGCCCCTTTTGCTCTAGCCCCAGCACAGCAGCCTAGCTCCTTCTTGTAGCATAGTGTTGCACTCACAGCTTGTTTCCTCCTCTTCTCTGCTTATTCTTCTGGGAGCTTTTAAAGGTCCTGACAAGCCACTCCCTGCTTATCCAAGTACCCCACAACTGGGCTTCCTCAACAGGGCTGTTATCTCTTAAAGGGACAGACTGTCCAGTTTCACATGAGCTATCAAACAAAACAGCTACCTAATAAAGTGCAGAATGTAGTGTGCCTACTCAGTTGCTTATTATGGTTGTCTCTGGACATTTCATTGGCTTTATATCTGTCTCTAAGTGAAATTGAATATGTTGGAAATTTTATGTTTAAAGCCCTACATACTTTTGAGCCTTGTCTCCTGAAAGTCTGCCTTTTTCCCATGCCTTGTATAACTGGAAATTGCCTGATGGCTTCATGTTGGCTATACCTAGACTTAAACATATTGGAGCAAGTATCAGGGAGTTCTCAGCTGCAAGTGCTTGACTTTGGACATTTTTTTCATAGGATTCTAGATTATAAGGCAAGAAAGGACTGTTGTGATCCACTTGGCTGACTTCCTTAACTGGCTGGGCAGAGACTGATTTGCAAGATTTCAAGTCAGAAAATTTCACCCCATGATTCCTGCATCAATGGCAATAGTTTCCATCTGAGATGCAGTAGATCTTTTAGCAGGAAGTACCAAGTCTGGAGCTAGAGAATTCAAGTGATCACAAATCCTCCATACCTCTAGGTAAGTTGTTCAGTGATTTGTTTTCTCATTGGTCCAACAGAGCCCAAGTGTAATTTCTAAGGCACTGCAGAAAGCCCTTGATCAGTTTGCACAGACTTTTGCATGAAGAGAGAGAAGTGGTATGTATCATCATGGTCTTAAGTTGCAAAAGGAAGATAAGGTTAGATACTGGGAAAAACTTTCACAATAGGAGGGTAGTAAGCAATAGAGCAGGTTACCCAGAGGGGTGGTGGAAACTGCATCCTTGGAGGTTTTTAAGACCTGGCTAGACAAAGCTTTGCCTGGGACAATCTAGTTGGAGCTGGTCTTGCTTTTTTATAGCATGAACCTTATCACTGCATACATATTCTTTCCATATTATTATGATGATTGCATAATAAGTATCTTTCAGCTGAAGATCTTTGGACATTTCAAAGGCACTAATTAGTTAAACTTCACAACAACCCAGGGAAGTAGGTATAATTAATCCAAATTCACTTATATGGAAACTCAAATCATTTCAAATAAAAGGTCAAAAGGATCCACTTACTGTGGGCGCCCCTTCTTACGGTGTTCAGTCAGAGACTCCTACAACAATGAGCATCCACAACTTCCCCTAAAGTCAAGCAGTGCATAAGGCTCTTACCAGCTCTGAAAAATCAGAAGCTAAAAACTTTGTCTCACATGGGACCCCTAGAAAGTGAGTCCCCCGTTAAAAAACTGGCTGCCTCCGGTCATATTGTGATGCAGTGGTGGAACTAATGTTATCACCTGGGTTTGCTTTCTCATAGTGAATTGCCTACAATTAACTATGTTGCCTCTTCACACTTTGATAGCTATTGAGCACCTCAGTCCTATTGGCTTTTATGAAATACCCATCACCTTGTATTTTCTGTCCTTAAATTTGCTATTTGCTTTCCTTTGAATTGTGTAACACATTCTTTGGAGCTGAATATAAATACATGTTTCATGTGATTGGTGCATCTCAAAAAGCTTGGGTCATTATTCAAAGCCTCTCTGGACTGATCTGTCTAAGAAACCAGGCCACAAGTAGTTTTAAGGTGGGTTTTTTTTCTACCAGTGCTCTGCCAGTTCTGTCCATTTCTTGCCAGAAAGAAGGGCATACTGCCCTTCTTTGGGGAAGTATTTGAATTCCTCTGTTGAAAAAAACGATATGATAATTAAGTGGGGTCATATTCTACTGGGACAAAATCTGGGTTTGGCGAGAACAAAATGCATGACCTCTAGCTGCAATTACACACCTGCTTTGCTGTTATATTAAATAGAGACAGCCCCCTAAAGTAACACAATGTGTAAGGCAAAATTCCCATTAAGTTATAGATTAAGTTATTCTATGCGTTAATTCTAGGAAGATGCTGATTCTACCCAAGAAGTGTCTAGTATGTACACAGTGGTCTTGTACAGGTGTTGGGAATAATACTAGAGTGCTGAAAAAAGTACTAATTTTAGGTCTCATCCTTGATTCTGTACAAGGGAAGAGGTGCAAAAGTAAAGAAAAGAGGTCAGGGTGAGCAGGATTAACCTCCAATATAAATCAAAGCAACCCTATTTCACTCTCAGAAATGTTGGGGTCCAAAGTTAGTTCTTAAATCAGGGTGCCCTCCCCGTCAATGTCTGTATACCTGTAAGGAGCTGCTGAATTTAAAATCATAGAATCAATGAGTCAGAAGGGACCTCGACAGATCATCTAGTCTGACCCCCTGCCATGGGCAGGAAGGAGCACTGGGGGTGGGAGGGGTCCTAAGACCCCAGCCAGGTGCCTATCCAGTCTCCTCTTGAAGATTAGGGATGTGGCTGTTTAGTTTACACCCGTGTTTTGAGTAACAGAAATATAACCCTATCATCATTCTAATGTCAAAAGAAAAATAAATTAAAGCCATTTGTGACCCATTAAATAATTGGTCAAATAGCATCCAGGGGCATTTTTTATCCCACCTCCTTTGCAACAGACATGACTGCTCCATTGACAGCATAGAGAGGTCCCATTGGAATCTGTACATTGACTTTGCACCATCAGGGCGGTTCCTTTCGCCAGGGGCGATCCTCCCGGCACTGGGTACACCAGCTCTACAACCAGACTCCTCTAGCAATGTGGACAGCACATTGTTAATGTATTAGTTAGACTCTGTTTTCTTTCCTAGGTTCATGCAGTCTGAACCAGTTGCTAATAAGT